TTCCTTACAATTAGTTTTTTTATTTTTATTTTTATTTTTTTTTGAAAATAGGCAATGGATTTCCTTATGATTAGTTGATCCCAGGGGTTCATATATTCTTGAAACATATTCCCTTGGCTGTGTCTGTCGAGTTGTTGGACTTGGACATCATGGGAACATGAACATCATTGCAGCTGCAGCGACTGATATTTTGTTTTTTTACCCAAAAAAAGAAAAAAAAAAAAAAGAAGAAAAAACTGACATTTGAACATCATGGCAATCCATAAACCACACCCCTCTCCATCCACAATCCAAGCCCAACAATTGCTACCGGTTAAATATTACCTGACAATGGGAGCATATATTTGAACTCTTCTCATGACATTGTAGCAGTGACAATGTTTTTTATTAATCATATTGTTTATTTATACTCTTTGCATGGTGTTAAAATTGTTGATAGGTAGTTGGTGTCAGACTTTTGACAGAAATGTCATTACAAAATACAAATTTAGAAAAAGTGCAAATTAGACTTTGTATTGTTTCAAATTTTGGAAAAAAAAAAAAAAAAAAGACAGTAGTCTTTAACTTTCTCAGATTCTCAGATCAGTCCTTACAACTAAAAATTATTGCTGAAGAGTCCTTATAATTTTTTTCTTGTCACAGCATAGTAAATAAAGTCTCAGTAGAAAGCCTAGCTCCCCTGGATGAATGATGAATGAATGGATTCGAAAATTTTGCTTCTTTAGTATATATATGAATGCAATGTATTACTGTTAGATGAAGAATGCTGTTCTTGAATCTTAGCGTTGTGATGTTGAAGAAAACTTGAAGAAAGAGAAAAAGGGAATTGACTTGGGGTTTGGGTTTGTGTATGTTGAAGAATTTTACTGATCTATTTCTTTTGGGCAGTCCACTGGTTACTTTGCTCTCAAAGACTACGCGTGTTGAAAACAGAAGCCGATGGGCACCGCTTGTGTTTCACGTCAAGAGAGGGGGAATTAATGGGGAAACGATCATGGAGGAAGAGATCTTGCCTGGGGCACACATAGACCTTATCCCCAGCACCATTTTTGGCAATGACAATGAAGACAATCCTGTTTTTGTGTATGCTCATATTGATGGAATGGACCGACAATTGTGGACTCCTATAGACCCAAGTATGATCAAGAATAATGCTAAGGTTTTCCTGGGATTTGTAGAATTTCGCAAGCCAATTGAAACTGCATTTTTTGGTGGACCTACATTAGGAAGGCTGAGGTCCCTTTCCTTGCTCTGATTTTGTTTTTCTACAATTCTGTTTACTAAATTGTTCTTGGATTATTTATATATATGGTTTGCGAAACTGTTCTTTATATATGGTTTTGCAGGATTGTCGTTGAGGTGAAAAATGCCATGAAGAAGATGATGGATAAAATCATGGGCAGAAACTAATAAGTTACGTATATTTTTTCGCAACACCTATGGAGATTACTTCTGATAATATGTTCTGTACTTCAATTTTCCCTTCACAAGATCTTTTAGTCTTTTTTATTTGAGTTTGACGTTAATTCAACATGGATGTCATGCTTCTACAGCTCTACCTACTCTGCTTATAAGTCTTGACTTTCTCCCCGTTTTTTTTTTTCTTCAGGATGAGAATTCATACCTCATCCTAAATTTGACGTAATTATGGCATTATGAATGAACTTCCTTTCTATTGTTAGACTTTCTTTAATTTAACATGGATATATTCTGCTCTTGACTTTTTGCGCTTTGATATTATTATGGCATCGAGTAATAATTGATTCTTAATGCATATGCTAAAATGTTCATATAAGGTGTTTTCTATCTATCATGTGTTGATTATATTAATATATTAATACTGTTGATTTAATTATCTTCATAATTTAAATTCCATCATCTATTAATAATACCCAAACGTCTGGATTTTTTTTTTAAATAAATAAAATAAGAGTAAAGTAGAGAAGTGGGAACCTGGGGTTGTGGAGTTCTTGTGCAAGAAACTATCCCACCAGTACGATTCAAGGCTTTGGGTTCTGTAGGAACTACGCTTTTGCTCTTGGGTTTCTTCAATTTCTTCGATCTTTTCTTTGTCTTCTTCAATTTCTTGAAGGGAGCCTTCAGAATCTATACTACTTGGATCTTCCACCGTTTTCACTGATTCAAGATTCTCGCAGCAGGGCGATGACTAGCAAAATTTGCTAAGGACAACGTTGGTAAATTTCTTCATCACTTTAGCTCCAGGGTTGGCCAATATAAGCTATAAATCAGAAGAAATAGATCGAATTAGAATCGAAACAAACTTTTCAAACTCAGATTGCAATTTCTCTGCAATGAATAAGCTGGTTAATTACAACACTATGTATAATAATTTTGGTACCTGGAGCCCCCTTCTATCAGTAGTTTTCTTAACCTCTTCAAACATGCTTATCCCACTTGTGTACATACATATATATAAAAGCAAAAGTGCATAAGCTAAAGAACAGAAATCAAGAACAAAGGCAACTCCTATTAGGCAATTGATCGAATACTTGGAGTGCACATATCTAGTCTTCCATATCTTCACCTCAATTGAACATAACAAAAGAACTTTCAAAACTAAGAAAAGAAGAAACAACCGAGAACACTTCATGACAAAATTGCACCTCATTTTCACACTTTTCCCCTTGAAACAAATTACATGAAATCCCAACATCAAT